ATTCATATTTAAAAAATTAAAATATTAAACTAAAATTACTAATTACAAAGCTGTCAATAAGTTAGGCAAAAACCCTTCTTAAACCCTCAAATTTACCCTAAAATAACATTTAAGTTTTTAAACTAAAAATAAAATAGATAAACCCTCCAATTCCTCTAACTATGCAAATAAATCCTTCTCTCAAATAGGCCAAACAATATTTCATGTTTAATATCACCTTGAAAGCATGAACACCTATGAACGAGAAGGGTTTATTTGTACCATTATAGGCGTTAGAGGGCTTATCTGCTTTATTTTTAGTTTAAGGATTTAAATACTATTTTGAGATAAGTTTGAGGATTAATAAGAGTTTTTGCTAATAAGCTCTTGGGTTGGGTGATGTGATAAAAAAATAAAAATTTGTTAAAAGTTAAGACTCCAGCTCATATTTGTCTTGTTCTGTAAAAATAATTATAATATTCTTCTGTGTGGATTGTCGAAGTCCAGTAAGAAGGTTAGGGATGTCACTGAAGCCCCACGAGATTGGGGAGTCTCTTTTCGTCCTCGTTCCCACAAATAGTGGGGATAGGAATCTCTATGGAAATTTTTGATTGGGGTAGAATTTGCCTTCTATCCCATTCTCTATGAGGATCTCCATTCCATGCCAATTAATATCAAAATATACATTTTTTACATCAAACATAAATAAAATTAATTTAACATAAATAATTAAATCAATAAAGTTGTTCCAAATATAAATAAAGATTAATCACACATAAGCTATTTCAAACATAAACTACTCCAAATATAAATAGAGATTAATTCAACATAAAGCAACATACTTGTTCTAAATATAAGCAAAAATTAATCCAACATAAATAAAATAACTAAACCAACATCCAATATGAGGGGAGGCAACCAAGAGCCAACTCAAAACACCTTAACTCTCAAAATCCACAATTGCTCATAAAAAACCTTACAATACAATTAGTAAATACTTCATGTTAATATATTTATAGAAAAACTATTTACATTATTAGTATGAAAAAAGGTCATTTATATTTTACCTCTGAATTATTATCTTCATCACAATCTACATCCTCATTTTGAATAAAGAAGCATATATCATCCAAAGAACTTATTTCAAACACGAAATTTAAATTGAAAATTAACTACTTAATTAAAGAATAAAAGAAATATACCATAAAAAATAAAAGAAATATAAGCGTAATACCTTTGAGATCTCTTCTTCTGTATTAGACATTTATCACCTAAAAATAAATTTTAAAAAAAAAACAGTTATCCCTTTACATTGAAATATAAAATAAACTTTGAATTTTTCTCTAGTTAATGGAAATTCTTTCCTTTCACAGTTTCACTGGAATTCACAATAAACTCTAGAAATTAACTAGACAACCAAGCATTCACAGTTTTCTCAATTTCTTGATTTTACTGAGAAGTTACTACACTTTTTTATGTTATATGTATATTGGTCTATGTAAAGAAATTAACTATGCAATTCACTAATAGAAATGGCTATAAGTAGTCAATGAATCTAGCAAATTCTAAAAAATCCAAACTTTCTCTATTTTAAATCAACCCATAAACAGATTATTTAAACTTCTTACCGTTTGGATTTGTAGCTTATAGCCGTAGGTGGAGTGCTCTGGCAACAGAGACAATTCAGTAGCAATTGTAGAGACAATTTAGCAGTCCACATATTGAATTGCAGATTGGAAGATGGCTTTGACTTTGACTTTGACTTTGAGCAGCAGTAGTCTAGACTCCAAATGGATTCGGTTTGACAGTAGCAGTCCAGACCCCAGATGGATTCGATTCGGCAGCAACAGTGTGTTTGAGGTAGAAGGGTGAGATGTGAAATAGAGAAGGGTTGAAGGGCGACAATGAAGGGAATCAAGGGATTTAAGGTTTGAGATTCGTAGGGGAGGGCCAAAGGGGAAGGTCGAAGGTGACTTAGGTGAGTGAGTCAGAGAGTGAGAGGCAGAGGCAATCAATGAGTGAGGAGAACTAGAGAAATGAATAAGGTTACTTAGGGTTAAAAGGTTTGGGTTAGATTGGGTTGGGTTGGGTTGGGTTGGGTTGGGTTGGGTAAAATTGGGTTAAGTTTTATTGAATTAGGTTTGGTTTTGGGTTTGAAAATTATATTAAATTTAAAATCAAATTAATTTATATATTTTTTAAATTTTTTGCAAGGATGGGGATCCTCGTGGGGCGAGCAAAACTTCCTGTGAAATTTTGCAGGGGGGAAATGCCCCATGTCCCCACCCAACAGAGAGGAATATTTCTTCCCACCTCATCCTGGTGACGGGATCCTCACGGGACCCTGCGGGGATCAAGGTAAGTTGCCACCCATAAAAAAGGCACATTGTCCTATTTTTCACCTGGTATGTGGCATCCTCTCCTTAATTGGACCAATTGCGACAAAAAGCTTACTCTTAGCCCTTTACCTTACTAGATTTATAGGTTTTAACCCATCATCTATTAGAATTAAAAAAAAATAACCCTTACTTATAACATTTTATTAGTTCTGTTAGCTGACTATTAACTTTGTTAACTGACTGTTAACGTTATTAGCTGACTATTAACTAACTGTTAGCTAACAAAAACTTCCTTTTAGTTAATAAAGTTAACAGCCAATTAACAGAAATATTTGTTAGTTGACTGTTAACCTTATTAGTTAACTGTTAGTTAGCAAAAACTTATTTTCAACGAATAGAATCAACAATCGGCTAATATAGTTAATAATTAGTTAACAAAACTAACGAAATACCATAAAATGAGGGTTATTTTCTTTAATTCTAATAGGTGAGAGGCTAAAAGTATTATAGTATAAAATAAGGGACTAAAACTTATACATTTAGTAAGATAAAAGGATAAAAATAAGTTTTTGCCACCAATC